GTATGTATGTATGTATAGTTATTATAGAAAAGTATATCAATACCGATAGCCGGTAGTCGAAAACATACAACTAGTGAATCACATTAACCTTCGGCAATTTTGACTCCCGCGTGTTATTGAAGAAGTTGCAAGATACATGCCACACAGAACAGTGAGCCATGTGCATATATATATATATGTAGATAGACAGATAAACAGATAGATAGATAGATGGATAGACAGATAGTTAAGGCCCCGCATCTTATCTGAATGGAAAGGTGTTTCTGAACGTCTACATTGGTCTGCTTGGAGAGCTTTATGGCCGGGCCGTGCAGAGAAAGAGTCAGCTCTACAATCATTACTTGGCCTCCTGTCCTTGTACAGCAGGGGTTCCAGAGGGGGTTTAGGGTTTAGGGTTGTCTGGGGCTTATGAGGATGTTCGACTCTTCCTTAATGGATGGACCCAGAGTTTCGCACACAAGGAGAGCAGGATCTCTTTCGGCAGACATTCTTGTACCAACGAGTCGCCTAAGTGTCGTGATTCAGGATTTCATAATCGCCCAGAGAAGGATTCTGAAGAGTCCTTTCCACACTCGTTGCTGTTTTGTGTGCGTTTCTCGTGCCGAAGCCCAGTGGCCTCCAGCAGAGCCCCCGCAGACCTCCAGCACGGTTTGGGTCTGGGTTTCGGGCTTTAGGGCTTTAAAGTTTGGGATTTCGGACTTTGGGGCTTTAGGGTTTAGGATTTCGGGCTTTAGGGCTTTAAAGTTTGGGATTTCGGGCTTTGGGGCTTTTGGGTTTAGGATTTCGGGCTTTGGGGCTTTAGGGATTAGGATTTCGGGCTTTGGGGCTTTAGGGATTAGGATTTCGGGCTTTAGGGCTTTAGGGATTAGGATTTCGGGCTTTGGGGCTTTAGGGTTTAGGATTTCGGGCATTAGGGCTTAGGTAGGGTTTAGGGTTTCGGGCTTCCCGAACCTGGAGTTGAAGCTAATGGCCAGAACTGCCCCCAAACAGACAAGAAGAAGATGACGTCCCTAAACCCTAAACCCTAAACCCTAAACCCTTAACCCTAAACCCTAAACCCTAAACCCTAAACCCTAAACCCAATGCCCCTCCTTGGTACGGACAAGAAGAAGACACCCCCAGGCATCCTATGCCTACCGGAACCTCGCCCGATGGTGCCGTTTGAGCTGTGAGACGTGTAGAGGCGAAGAGCCTTGGCAGGGTAGACAGTTTGGGGTTTAGGGTTTAGGGTCTAGGGTTTAGGGTTCGGTCGGACATTCGTCAGGGTTTAGGGTAGATGCTGAGTGCCCGATCTGCTCTAATGAAGCAATGTGATATGAAGCCCTCAACCCTTACCTTCAAAGGACTCATATTTTAAGGCTTTTGGGCCCAAAAAACCCTATTATGTAAGGCTTTTGGGCTAGTTTGATGCTAAGGGCAACAACAGTCAATGCGAGAAGCAGTCCTTCGCGCTTTAACTAAACGGGGTATCGGGCTCAAGTACGGAGTCTGCTTGCTGGACGCATGCTCTCAAGGGCTTTTGGCCACACAGGCCATGCTATACAATACCTTTGGGGTAGGATGTAGATGGTCAGCGTTTGAGGATGTTGAGCATGGAGGATGTCGGATTGGATGAGGCGATCGGCATGGGGATTGTAGCAAGAAGTTTAGCAGTGGCAGGGGCGAGAGTTTGAAACAATCAGAGGGTTCCTATGCAAGGTGGTGGACCCTACGCCCCGCAATCCCCAAAGGGTCTGGGGTTTGCGGCTTCAGGGGTTTCGGGTTTGGGGTTTGGGGAATGAATCAAGCTAGATAAACCCTAAACCCTAAACCCGAAAGCCTATACCCTAAACCCTAAGCCGCAGCGTTTGTTGGAGGTTGCCGTGGGGGCTGAAGCCTACGAGGCCCCAAAGCCCCCAGACTCAGACCCGAAAGCCTCAAATCGGCCCAAAGAGGCCCTGGAAACTCCAAGAGCCCTAAGCTCTGAAAACTTACAAGATGCAACCCTAAACCCTACAAGTTCAGGGCTGAGGGTTTAGGGTTTTAGGGCTTTAGGGCTTTAGGGCTTTAGGGTTTTAGGGTTTTAGGGTTTTAGGGTTTAGGGTTTTAGGGTTTAGGGTTTTAGGGTTTAGGGTTTTAGGCCAAGCCCCATGCCCTAAAGAGCCTAAAGCAGCCGAGGAGTTTGAGACGGGTGTTGTCTGGGTGGCCTACAACCGCGCTAACCTCGTGGAGGAGTCGGAGGAGAAGTCGGTCTCATGAACTCCCTTGGTGGCGCTCTTCTATGGTTCAATTTAGGGGAGATAGAAACTGGGATGGGGTTTTGGAGCAAAATATTGCACAACTCAACTATGTATAGATAGATAGGGACTACATGGAATCTACATTCACAGACACACACCCCAGACATGTACATACACGCTCACACACACACATATATATATGTATGTATGTATGTATGTATGTATGTATGTATGTATGTATGTATGTATGCAAACATACACGTTGACATGTATATAAACTCATGAACATATGTACAAGCATAGAGAGTCCTACATGAATGCGTTGACCCCGGCCACACAGAGGGCCTCTTCCAAAGTCAGTTCACTCCCGCTAGCCGTAGAGCAAAAGAATTCGAAGCAGGCGTGAAACATGAGGCTGCGATTTAAAACAAAGCCTCGACCATCTTAGCTCAGCCCAGCTGTAAAACTCGGCTTGGGGTAGGTTTCAGCTTCAGCAGTCGAACCGACAATCCTCGGTGAGCTTTCGCCTGCTGCCCCTTGCGTGCCGCGTCAGAATGTGAACTGCGCGAGGTTCAAGATTTAGAGGTTGTGTTGTCGGGCTTTCGGCATTCCCCATCCCCAAGGCCATGAGCCCAACATCCCAAACTCCCAAATGACTGAAACCTACAAACCCCCAAATCCCAAAGCACTTAATCTCAAGCAGATCCCAAAGCTCTTCGATTTCAATTCCCGAGCCCTAGCATCAAAAAGCCCGAAACCTCAAAGCCTCAAGCGATGAACATAACCCTAAACCCTAAGCCCTAAATCCTAAACCCGACAGGTTACAATGGAAGCCCTAAGGCCCCGAATTCCAGCGCCCCAGGGGACCGAGCTTAGAAACTTCAAGCCTTTCACTCCTGAGTCCTGATCTCTCTTAAAACCTCGAGACGGTACGATGCAGCCTGGGCTTAGGGTTTAGGGTTTAGGGTGGAGGGGTTAGGGTTTAGGGTTGAGGGTTTAGGGGTTGTGACAGCTCTTCACAGAGAGGATGCCCTTCATGCTACCCAGAGTAAATAGTGCGCCCCAAGCCGACCTGGTGTTAAAGTGGCCTTTGTCATTGCTAGGGTTCGGAAAGCTTAGAAACTACGAGGAATCCTTCATATCAGGGCATCGGCATCCATGCTCCTGAACCCTTGCTTTCGTTGAGGGCAGGCGACCAGCACAGTGTTTAGCAATACGGATAAGGGCTCAGTCATTCTAATTCTCTCTGCTCAACCCCTAAACTTACCCTAAACCCCAAACCCTAAACCCCAAACCCTCAACCCTAAACCCTCAACAGATCATGGCACCAAAGCAGCAGGATCCTAGTCATGAGAAGCCCTCCATTACCCATAAGCCCCTAAGTAGTTCCTTTTTGTGGTTTATATTCAGAATCCTATAGGGTAATCCCCAAAAAGGAACTACTTAGGGGCTTATGGGTAGGCACCCGTAAGCTGCAGCCGACGCCTTTGACCCAGAAACTAAAACTTTTTCCAGGACCCTCCCTGTACCTCAAAAATTGCTTCAGAGCGCTGTAGCCGTAGAAGTAGGGACTGCGAGGGAGCCATCTTTCTTGCTTCTTCAGACCGCTCTGTTGGCAGGGGTATGTTTATGGGGTTTAGGGTTTAGGGTTTAGGGGGTGTAGGGGGTTTGTGGCTTTGGGTTTGTGGGGCCTGAGGCTGAAGCGGAAGCCTCTGGAACAAAGGCGACGTGCCCATGATTCCAGACATGGAGCACATTCTCAGCAAACCCCCCCCCTCTTCCCTAATTGATGGAAGCAGATTCACACGCTCCTGCCAGCCGTTTCGCCGCGGATTAGGCGTTTTTGTCCTTCAGCTTCCGCTCGCAAGCCCAAGCCCTAAACCCTCCCTCGGACAGCATGAAAGTTGCCAAGAAGGCATGCGAGGCCCTCAACCAAATTTCTATGATCTTTGACTATTATATATATATATATGTACACATGTAAAAAGTAATATTATACTAGAATATACTTAATATACTACAATACAGTCCACATACCCCGAAGATTGAAGAGTGAAGCCCAGGGGTTCGGAGTTTATGTTGGGGCAATGTGAGGGCCGTTAAGCAAAATTACTCTGACAGGGTTTTGGGGGACACTCTGCCCTAGTCAGAGGCTCCATAGTAGTTCCTTCTTGTGGTATATATTTAGAATCCTATAAGGTAATCCCAGAAAGGAACTACTAGGGAGCCTCTGGGTAGTTAGATAGAGACTGTGAGGGACTTCCATGACTGATTCTTCAGGCCCCCAGGCAAGAGGCATCTGAAGATTCCAGTAAACACCTTCTTCTTCCATGTGCGCAATGCTCGCTGCACCAAGTTTGCCCATGGCAGCTCCTGTCGACATACAGGACAGAGGCTTAAATCCCGAACCCAAAGCCCGAAGCCCCCATACCCAAAAGCCCGAAAGTGTGGGAGTGAACGGCAAGGAACCCCAAAAGTCACCTGACGCTGAGCTTCCCAAGCCTAAGTTAACGCCTTGCCTGACTCGTTACCTTATAGCGGAAACGCCACACCTTAAACAAACAGAAACCCTAAGCCCTAAACCCTAAACCCGCACCAAAATCCTAGGCGACGCTGGGAGGCTGGGCCCGTAGAGAAAATTCACGATCCCCAGGGTATGGACAGCTCTGTTCATTCCGTGGCTTTTATAGCACAATCCCTACCGCATTAGGGTTCTAGGATGTGTAGGGTTTAGGGTTTCGGGCTTAGGGTTTAGTATAATCCTTAGGGGATTATTGAAACTTTTCGGGGCCCAAGACAGCTGGAGAGCTAGATGTCTACGCCGTTCAGGGGCTACTGGGAAAACATGGCCTCACAACAAAGAAGCTATGAGACTCTGAGCACCAAGCCCCGGAAGGATCGTCTATTGCTACAGTAGGGCTTAGGGCCTAGGGTTTGGGGTTTAGGGTAGTAAGCATTCAGACTAGGTTTATGATATGGCTTAGCAGTAGTTGTTGCTATCATGTTTGCTATTGCATTGTAACTCTTGTTCTCATCAGTCTTATTAATTACTGTCATCACTACCTCCACGGCAGTGCGAAAGACACCCCGAACCCCTAAACCCTAAATGAATAGCCCCTAAACCCTTAACCCTAAACCCCAAAACCAAAAACCCTAAAGACCCAAAACCCTAAACCCTAAACCCCAAAGCCCAAAACCCTAAACCCCAAAACCCTAAGACGAGGAGGACTTGGTCCTGCAGGCTGCTGAGCATTGCCGGGCCCTGCGACAGGAGCGCACTCAGATTACCAACGGACACGCGTCTTTGAGCTCGGTGGTGGGGGTAAATTGCGGGCTAAAGCGGCTGTAAGGGATTCATTGTGTACGGTTTGGGGATTTGACTAGGGGTTGGTGAGGGGTTTATAGGTTTGGGGGACCCTTATTGTACTGTGCTCTCTTTCTGAATTGGCCGAAGAGGCTTAACACCTATTGGGCATGTGGCTGCAGGGTTTTGTGGGGTGAGGCTTTTCCTGAAGCTCTGGCTCACCAGGCGTTCTGTGAGACAAGACAAGTGTTTTGTCTATCAATCTACCAATCTTTCTATCTGTCTGTCTATCCATCTAACTAACTACCTATCTTTCTATCTACTTATCTGTCGATCTATCTCTATCTATCCATCTATCTATTTATCCATGCATCTATCGATCCATCCATGCAACTATCGATCCATCTATCTATCTATCGATTTATCGATCGATCTATCTATCTATCTACCTACTGTTTCTACTGTTTCTACCTTATCTAGTCTATCTGACTATCCATACATCTATCTATCTATCTATCTATCTATCTATCTGCATATCTGTCTATATACACATACGCACGCCTGTCTGCATGCACATATGTTGGTGTTCACCATAATGCAAACTGAACAGATTCAACCCCTCGTCGAACCACAAAAAGGACAACAGCTTAATCCTAGACACTCCT